TTATTCAGTGACGATCGTTACACGCGGGATCAGTGATCGAATATTGTGTTCGCGCGCCCGGATACGCAGTGATTCTTGTTCACGGTCCTCCTGGGGGGGGGGTGGGGGTGAGGACGACGGAAAATCCTGGTGCAAGATTATCCGAGCGGCGATCGATGGATGTAGTGGTGCGTGACAACGCGTATGGAACTCGAAAACAGTGCGGAACAGAGATGTTTGGCTGGGCTCGAGTCGAGTGAGCGGAGGAGGTAGGCGTCCTCCGACCACCGATGACAAGACACAACGCCACGTGTTCACGGCATAATTCGGCCTGGACCTGAGTTTAACCTCGTAGGTGTTCACGGGAGAACGATGGTGCGGAAAGTGTGAACAGTTCTGAGTGGATAACGCGGCGATCGACCACGGGAACCGCGGGAACCGACGCGAAACAGGTAACGGCGGACTTCTTTGCAGAAATTAACGCAGTCCCCATGTCCCTAAAGGCGTTTAGCAAAATGGACGAACGGTTCCTCGACAACGAAGACCGACAAAACTCGACTAGCAGTGGGTTAGCAGCAAGTTTGGTCGTTGAATCGCGAGCGCGCAAACACTTTCTCCCGACGCGTAACTCTTTTCTCTTTCTCGTTTACAACCCCCTTGCTACGTTGCGCCGGTTATAGCTGGCTCGAGTTTACGTTATCCGCGCTCGCAGCGAGCTTCGTGCTTCCGTAAAGTTATCGCGAGAGAACCGAGCGTGCAAATACCAGTCTCGTACACGGCGAAGGGGAATGAAAAGTTTTTGCTCGAACGGGAGAATCGAGATACGTGAACAACACGCGTTATGAATTGCGCGTTCCTGCGTGGCATTTGCGATTCGCTTATCCCCGATCCTGACGAAGGGACCACCGTCGGTCTAATGTTTCGCCGATAGGTACGCGCTCGAGTTCTGAATTCTGATGAATGTCGCCATTTATCAATCCCCCGGGCGGGATCTTTGTCAGCTGGCATGACAGAAGGGATATCGGGAATTACGCTGTCCTGATTTTATTTCTATTTTCGCTCGCATCGAGAGGGCGGCTGTGACGAGAGCGTGCTCGGTGGTTCGGTTGTAGCCGGTCGATAAAAAAATAATACGTTCCAATCGACGATGCGCGAAGCGACAATCATCGTAGCACTTGTTCATCGTCCGTTCAATCGGGCAGGCACCTACCGTTTTTGTGTTTGATAACTGTTGGTACAAGCAACAAGCACGGTCGTGGAAAATCTGCAGCGAAATTCTTTCGCGCAGACCTTTGTTCCCGGAGCTATTCATTTTTAAAAATTGGCCGACCATCGCCTGCCTTTTCTACTTCCAGACGCTCGTAGCTGTCTCGTATGAAATGGAATTTGATATAGAAATATTCTTGTTGCTTTTAGAGATACGTAGAAGAGAACGTAATGCGATAAAGAACGACTGGTAGAGTTAGTAATACCAAAGCAAGTAGAAACGACGTGTAATGGTCAGACGCGTTGGCCAAGTCCGTACTGAACCGCGCGCTTACCAACGAATTTTCAAAGTGAATTTTCCGGGAGTACGAGACGCCGTCCAATAAAATTTTATTCCATATTTTCGATTCACTTTCTCGCGCAGAATGACCATATTGTCGCTTGCATCGCCAGTTACCGAACGTCCTGTACATTTTACGCGCACAGGATCGTTCCTGTGTAAATATCACTTCCGTTTACGGCAGCAATCTTCCGAGAAAACAATAATACGATCTCCTAATGACATCTTTACGTATAGAAAACGGTTCGCCTCGACTCTGATTCTCTTTGCTCCGAGCAATGCTCCTGTCGATTTGTATCGAATTTCATGCAGAACGGCGAGGCACACATTTTCCAAATACTCGTTTAGGAAATTGTACGACGGAAGAGGGAGAGGTTCTCGAACGATTTACGGTGGCGAATTTAAAAAACTCGGAGCGTGCTTGATGACCAAAAGTAGAAAACAACCCGGTCCTTCCAAAGTTTCGAATTGTGCCACGCCAGAGAAACGGATGCACGCTCCGTGGACTACATACTTACGACAAATTAAGTCATTTAACCGCGCTACAGCATAGTTCCACCCCCCCCCCCCCCTCTCTCGGAAACCGTGCACCTTTTTCCGTTAAAAACAACTAGTCGAGTCGTGTACCGGGGAACTCGCGTACAATTGACCTGAAAAGTAAAATGCCCATTAACTTTCGACTCGTCAGAGAAAATCGATAGTTTAATGCCACCGATAGCTTTCGCGATTCTTACGAATACTCGTGCAACACAGACCCCCAGGTATAACGAACGATTTAAGGGTACTCGATATTAATCCGCGAACTCACTCGTTAAGGCGGAAAGAATGAACGTATTTCGTCTGGTCTCGTCCTCTCGATTTTCTTTTTTTTAGCAAACTCCTCTTATTGCTTCGAGTATTTTTGTCGGTGCACCGAAATCGATCGATGAGGGCGCAAGAGCAAAAGGCTGTTTTCCCCAGGGATTTCCTTAAACGAGATTAAAGATAAACTTATTAACGGGCTCCTCTAAGGCGCCTCTCTTTTTATCGAGCCACGAAAATTAGCGTCGGTCCCGACGGCGTTGGATTCTCATCGGAACGATCGTCCTCGATGCTCTTTGAATGTCGACGAACCTTTGGAAATCTGATGGCTCGGAAACGTCGGGACTCCCCCGGTGTTCTATCTCCCTAATGGCCGTTTAACAGCTTCGCGAAAAGACAAAGTGACTCCGAGCTCCTCGATATCTCGTCTATCGAACCTCCTACGAGAGCATCGGGAACCATTGTCTCGGCTCGTTCGAATTTCTCTTACTCTTCCTACTCGACGGTTAACCGTTTGTCGCGCGTTCCGTGAAAATCCTTCGACAGCTCCGACGACCGATCGAGGGAAAATTACGAACTCGTCAAAGGAAAAAAAAGGTTCCGCGAGAGAAAATAAAAATGTGCAAAACGCGCGCGCCGCGTACGTGTTTCTCTCTGGGAACTTTCGGTTTAAGCCATGACGCGAATAAAGTGGACAATAAAGTCCTTCGTTTCGTCGAACATGCATTTCCCGTGGACGGTTCTCGAGTCACGTATCTGGAATAGGATAGTTCGGTTCGTCTCGGAAGTGGAGTGAAGTAACTCCGTGCGTCCGATGTGGAACACATCAAAAAGACAACTCTCTTTCCCGTTCAATGCTACCAACACCCGTAACTTTCTTCTATGTTTCCTCGAAGCAACCCGTGAAAAGCGGGCGCAGCGCACGACGAAAAAGTACTTACGAAGTGTCGTAGACCGTGAACGTGTTTCGTAATGCCGTACTACCAACCTTCCCGACCGATAATTCCCCCAACTCCGTGAATGAAATATGGTCCGACAGTATCCACTCTGCGTTCTTTCGCGAACGATCTACACGATCCGTGGTACGGTTTCATAAATCGCGAATCCACCGACGGTTTACTATCCGCGTACTTCTGCCGCTGGAATATATTTACGTGGCTTTGTATCACGATCGCGTGGCCGTGCGTCGTTCGAAGCGACCAACGATATTACACGTTGCGTGTGGAACGCCTTACGCGATCAACGCGAGCAGAATTATCGCGGTAAAAACATCTCTTTCGCGTGTAACGTAAGTTTCCTTTCAGGGATGAAGAAATAAGTCGCTTCGAGACTTACTTACGGACTCTCTCGTACGAAACATCTCGCGGTATTTTAAGAATAGTACTCGACACACTTTTTGTTAGCATAGAATGGTTCGTAATTTTTCAAAGCCTCCAATTGCATTTATTTAATTTTCTGTATACCAGAGAAGATAGATAGATTCCTAGTTCCAAGAATGTTTAAGAATTCTAACAAATAAAAGATATAAAGTATCCCGTAGGTGACTGGAGGCTGAAATACGCGTTCGAAACATTTCCACGGGTATGAATTTTCTGTTTGGAGAGTGTTTCGAAAATAGTAGAACGACGACGCGAACGACGCTCCGACAAAATGGCCGCGTGGATTGCCAGATATGTCACCACTGGATTACTATCTTCGGGGAGCGATAAAGCAGCAAGTTTACACCCGCCGGTTTGAAAATTGTGACGAACCGTGGACTGTAATATTAACTGCAAGTGAAAACACCACCATAAATACACTCTCGCGCGTGCGTTAATCACTATCTCGCCTCGTCGATCCGTGCACAGAACGAAACAGTGATTTTTTTTTATCATTCCACCGTCGTTATTTACAGAGCAATTTTACCGAAAATCAGATCTCGAGATACGAATATGGAACGTAAATGTCTTTTGATCAATTTTTATTTCGAAGAAGTGAACGCTACGTGGGGAAAAATTAAGCAAAACTCGACGCAGGTTCCGAAAACTGGAACGACGCTCCACGAGGAGGAGTTCCGTCCACCTGTGCGAAACGATGGACATTAGAATAACGCATTACGTTTGCTCATAGTTTTTTGTCACCGCGACAGTATTGCTGTCGGTATCCTGGTTACCAGCCGTCTCGCTTCCACCGGGGAAAAGCAAAAGCTGGTGGGATTAGATTAGATAAGGGTCGGGTGGAACACGGTGGGCGAAGGGGAATCTTCGATTAAATCTTCTAGCGCCGAGGATGAGCAGTAGTCGTCGACTAAACCGACCGTATCAAATTCAATTCGATTTTCTCCTCCTGCTGTCCCCTTCTTGCGGCGATTCGTAATAATATGATTTTTACGGAAGCGGTTCTAACCGTATGATTATTAATTTCACGGATCCTTTCGATTTCATCCCCCGTCTCCATCGAATCGATTGTCAACTTACGTCGGATAGCAAAGAATAACTACTTTTACCGGTATCGTGTTCTCTGTAAATAATTCAAGTCGCATTCGGGGTAAACGTATTAGGTAATCTTTGGTTAATTGGCCCCATTCTGTTAACAGAACAAGGTGACTGGGACCCTGCGACCCTTGCACGGAGAACAAGACGTAAACGTCGTTAGGATGGTTTGAGGGTGAAATTATCAAGAGACGCTCGTCAGTATGCTGTGGATATTGATCGCAGTGACGTGCATCGAGGTATCGACCTTTGCCAACGCACAGTCGAGGAAAGCTACTTTTACACAGGAAGATGGGAACAACGCCGAGTCCGAGCATCCGAGTGAGTATCGTTCTTTTTCTAATAAACAGCGAGAATTCCGACCGTGAATCCCGCGAGCAACGAACTTCGCTCCAGCTAACATTCTTACTCGATAAACATTGAGAAACTACTCGTTATTATTCCCTATCGATGAAAATTCTATCGATCGATTGGAAAGTTGCGTTCCAATTTGTGCCCAGCGAGCGAAACACGCCGGAATGATGCAAGCTCTTTCCCCCCGTTACGTACGTCACGTTCCGGTACACGAGAAGAAAGCAATTTTTTTTGTTTAATGTTTAAACGGCAGGATGTTCCCTTTTCCTGGTCGTGTTGCGCAAACGAGGCACCCAGTGGTCGGGAAACGGGGCAACCATTCGCACGAATTACCGCTGGAAAACTCTTTCCTTAATTCATTTTGCCCCGCCGCGGGTCGCGGGAATATCAAAATTAATGTTTAATGGATACGTACAACGGGATTAGATTCGGCGAAACTCGTTCGGGAACTTTTTTCCGATACGCGTACACCGCCGCGAGAAAAGAAATTATACAAAAGTTCGAATTGCACCGAACCCCGCGGAAACGTACGCGACAAATATTACGCCGTCGTGGGTGAAACAACCCCCGAGGAATACATTTGGACCAACGTTACCAGTTCCTTGTTCGAACTCGATCGAAGACGGTACCCGGGTCTCGGGAGCATCCCGTGGCCGTGCACGAGCCAATGAACAAAGGAGGAAGTACGTGGCGAGACCGCAGATGAATTGCTAGAATTCACAATCGAGATTTGCCGGATTAGCCTGTATAGAGCCGTGCACTTTATAAATCCCAGACGAAACTAAACTAATTAGGTATGTATGGTCGGAGCGTCGCCGTGGGACATATAATTAATGCGGTGCACCGGGTAAATGAGAAATTAATTACGATATGGAAATCAGAAGCATCCCTGGGCCTGGTTCGCTACCGTTACCTGAAGAGGGGTAGCGAAGGGGGGCTCGAGTCCCGCCGGATATGGGTTTCTTCGACGCAGACGCACGTGCAGAACGTGAGCTCTGCACCGTGGCACGTGTTACGAGCACGGTGCACATGTGGCCACCAAACCAGAAAACCTTCCCTTCCCATGGAGAACCCGAAACACACTCTCCTGGAAAACCTACTTTTTTCCGCTTTTAAATCGAAATTCTCCAACCCAGGGTAGACTTCTTGCGATTTAAAAAATGGAAATAAAGGCTTGATACTTTCAAAAACGAGTTTCCATTAGAAGCTTAACATAGCTGGTCATTGCACTTGATTATCTGTTTCAATTTAGTTAAGTTTCCGTCTAAAATTGTCGATCAACAATGTGTTAATATGTTTGAATTCGCGAACGTGGACGGTGAGAGTTTCGACGCCGGAAGCGGTTTCCTTTCTTCCGTTGCGCGTGTGCTTCAGACATTTTCAAGAAGTTATCCGTGGAAATTCGACGTTCCTTGTAACTTGCCCTCGACTCTCCGTATTAGCGGTTGTAAAGTAAATTCGAGCAAAATCGGTTTAGCTCGATGGTTAAGTATCGGAGTAACCCTGTTGTTGAACCGAGGCCAACGAAACTATCCAGTTTACTCTACGTGTTCCTCCGAGGCAACTACCGTGAACTTCTTGGTTAACGCTAACCTCGTCGAACACCGGAGACCACTGACATCTACAACTCCTTGGGACCGGTTTTTGGAACGCTCCGTCGAACAGAGACGCTTTAAAAAAATAAGACATCGCGGCTAGCGATTGATGGTCGGAGCGTGACGAACGGAAAACGCAGGGGAGATAACAGCCTTCTACCAGAGTTCGAACATTCTTCGGATTTTAAATTAATTGTAAACAATTAGAACTTTTATCGATCAAAATTCCTGGCTCGGTTTCTCGAGCAGCCCAGCGAAACCCGAAGAATTCGATTTTGCTTAACAAGGAGCTTCGTAGCGCGAGAAACGATCCGGAACGCTGTAATTCAACCTATCCAGCCAGTAATACCAACCCCCGAGCGTTTAACCTGGCCCTGGTCGACTAACATCCTTCGATTTCTGAAATTCACGTCGCTGTTTCAGGCAACCGAGATAGCTTTCCACTATTAACGAGTTCGCGAGTAAAGTATTTTCTTTAGTGGACTTAGCAAAGAATCGCGAAGTCCGTCGGACTCTTTAATAGACTGGGCTCTACCCACCACCGGCGCAGACTGCTTTCACGGTTATTGGATTCCAGTCTTCGCAAACAAACGGGGCCAACGCGTAAATTCGAGGCACGAGTGCACGAGGGCCGGCGGAGAGAACTCGATCCTCCGGATCGGTGTACGTCTGCAACAGAAATGTTCTGTGTACTCTGTCGACGAAAGGAGAATTGTCTTTCGGGGGGGGGGGAATCACAGTCTGATATAACCAATTACCGATTCGTTTCGATTTTTCTCTCGAGAAAGGATCAAATGTAGATCCGTGTACAAATTTACGAATAATCGATAGCAAATTAATATTAACAGTTTATCGAGAGTCGAATAAGATTCGAAACAGGTACGAATTGGAAATGATTAATTCTTAAAAATCCCCGTCTGCTGATAAACACGGTATTAATGCAGGAATCGATATTGGAAAACGAAGGACCGAAGAGAATGGCGTGTAATATAATTATATTTGATTTAAATGAACGTAGCAATAACAACTCGTTACTGCCCACGGAAGTAAACAATGGCATTCGCCTCAGCTCGATAACAACGAACAATAACAAACGCTCTATTATCGCGAGTATTTTATATTCAATAATGCCTAACGACAATGAGAGCAGCGTTGTTCACAGAAGACCAATAACAGTAAAATAGAACCAAACAATCGTGTTTTATTCCGTTATGCTCGTACGTGGAATTTTGAAACGTAGAAACTATAGTGGATCAACGAAGATCGATCGTACAAATTTTCGACCGTTTCGCGCGTTTATAAAATTGTTGCCCGCCTGTCTGCGAATCAATTTTTGCCAGACCAACGTTGCAAACATTTATAAACGTCTATTTCGACGCGCCGAAACGCGTTTAACGATATCAAAACGTTACACACCGCCGATGATTTACAACGCCGACGAAAAGATCGTGATGATCTTGATTTACGGAAAGTGCGGGCGTAATTCAGTGCTGGTTCAGCAGTTAAATACTGCCCGATATCTCGATAAACGTCACCCATCGCGTCGCATATTCCAACGAATAATTAAAACCACCCGGGAGAATAACTGTTTCAATTCGCGGAAAAATGTCTGCTCAAAAACCGAAACGAACGACGCGAAATGCGTTTTCCGTTACGGTTGCAACGGCCCACGGACTGCAACAATATACTTGTACGGTGTAACGTTTAAAATTTACCAAGTTTTACAAAACATTTTTCTAAATACGTAAGTGATGCTCGTAAATTCACGAACTCGTCGAAAACGATTTAACAAACGATAAATAAATTTTTTCTAACGAACGTTAAAATCCACCAAAACTGTACACTGCTCTCTGATCCAGCTCGTGTTTAGTGCAGCACGGTATACTAACTGCTGTGGTATCCGGACCAGGCCAAATACCGTTTATTGCTGGAAGGAGTGCAACGTAATTTCCGCAGTTTCGTGGCCTCTAAGGCAGCTCGTACTAAATGAATCACGCTTATGGTCCCATTTTGAATCATCTTAAGCCGCACACCTCACTTTTTCTCGAGCTCATTGAATAACACCTAAATACCTCTGCAACTTCGCTCTCGTGCAATTCATTACTCGATATCACCGGCGTCCATAATTTCTATGATTTTTACGAGTTACCTTTTGAAACGTCTAATAAACGAAGACACTCTTTAGAAGTATGATTCCAATAAAAACTATTTTACCGCGGAAATACGTTTAAAGGTGGCCGAGAGAGGAATCCGGGGTAAATGTACGGGTCCTTAAGTGTCCGTTTAAGGGGGTGGATGGTGCTCCATCGTCGAAAAGGATCAGTTACGAGCAGGGGGGAGGGAGAAAAAAGAGAGAAATGAAATATAGCGGAAAAATTTCCTGCCAGAGGGGATGCCTAAATGGTGAGACAATTTAGATAAAAATTCCCTGCGTTTGTCACGGTCGTTCCTAATTAAAGGTTCCGAGATTAATGCCAGTAATTTTCCGGCGCCTCGGGCAATCGATACGTTTTCACTCGGACGTATCGAATCCTTTTCGAACAGCCGAGCGTCGATTTTCAGCGAGATCGTCCCGCGAATATTCGATTCAAAGCGAATGGCGGGGATCTTTGAGCGGCGAGAGCAAATTTATTATGGTTCCCCCGTTTTTTCCCCGGCACGCGGAGGAGTTTGTACACACATTTTCACGCAAGAAATTAAACTTTTTATCGCGTCCGGGTAGGTTGCTCGCCGTCTGCAAAGCGTTCGGTAAAAGGGGCATTAATTAAACGAAAACGCTCGAGAAGTTGGTAAAACGATTCACGGCCGCGATAGCTTAAATTACTATTCCGCGAATCGAGTTAAAAAGTTTGTATCAGCGTCGGACACTAGATCTTCTTAATAACCGCCCAGCGATCCGAAAACGTCGTTTAACCGGGATTTTAACGAGAGGGGACTTAAGGGTCGCGTCGCTCGACGCGCCCGGCCGTTTTCACGGAATATTATCTAGCACGGCCTTAAACTATCTAATGAAATTCGTTACATCGCGAACCACGTACTCGTTTCGGATATAAGCTGCTTTCAGCCACGGCCGCGTCTCTTCTTGCTGCGCCAGCAGCCCGAGATCCAGCTGGTTGCTCGAAACAACGATCAAGCCGCTCTAACGAGTGTTTAAACTAAGCTTGTTAACCATCATGGACGAGCAAGAAGCGTCGATGCGGAACGACGGAGTGAATATGTGTGTCTGCGTGTCCGTGCTAGGGTCGCCTCGTATCTTCCGAAAATAAGCCACGCCTCCTTTGGTTACCCTTTGCACCCTCTTTCGGTGGAGCCCGTTTAAGATTTCCAAAAGCAGGAGGAAAGTATTAATGTCTGGCGAATTATATTACCTTT